TTAATTAGTACTAGGTATTATTAAAATTAGTAGCAATTAAATTACTTGTAATTATTTTGCTAAACATATGCCCATACAGTATAACATCGATATAAGCTACATAGTCTGGTAAAATAATATATACATGTATATAAATAATGTTTGCTTATTTTATTTATTAGGTAAAGCTAAAGTCAAGATATTTTAAATGGTGCAAGATACATAAGCTGGACTTTTCTGGTAAAAAGCATGTCACCAAGGTGTGTTGATTATAAACCTTACAATAATTATTTAAGTTATTGACTTGACTATCTATATCTAACTATCATATGTTTATCACATAAATTTTCATGTTTAAAAATACGTTAAATTGTTACTTTTATTTTATGCACTAGATCGAAACAGTATTCAAACCGTACCGGTACCTAAAAACATCTAAATTCATCCAGCAAATAGCCCTGTGGGTGTGCAAACACCCGGAACCTACGGCGCTGGATAGCCACGCGGTTGGGAACGGCATAGACTGCTCCGATACCACCGAAATACCCAACGACTACCGGCTCTGTTTTAACTTGTTTTTCAACATGGATAACCCGGATAGTAGCTTTGACACTGGTGATAATAACGCTATAGCAGTGGGTGATGAGAACTCCAAGTACCTGATGCTGAACATACATTTTAATGTGAATAACCCGGGTTATATTGGCAGTGAAATTGAAACGGGTATGCGGTTATGGTATACGGATGAGTATAGGCAGAATGAGCTACAGCAATTAATTACCGGGGCTCATTTGTCCCTGTTGGGAACAATGTTGCCGGCTAAAAAGCAAACTATAGTAAATGTTGGTCACTGTAGTGGAAAGTGTTTTAAAGAGGTGTGACCTAGTTGATTGTTAAACACAAAACAGATTTATTTATAAGTTGCTATTTTATTATTTATTAAAATAGATGATGCCGTCCGAGGGTATTACCCTGACACATGCCTACCCGGTGTTTCACGATTATGGTAATAAATTATGTCCATTAATGTTGTAACTTATTTATTATTAACGTTATTTATGAGTGTTTTATAGGGCGCAAACTTCAAACAAGGCACTTTAGAGGTAGTGAAGAATTGCCATTAATAGTAGATCTCAGTGATAACGGGTCCGATGCCCAGGCCCTGGCCTACAAGAAGTTGGACAGGGAGGTGAAGATTATGCCCAATGATATAATCACCACCGAATGCACGTACGATACTACCATGGCCAACCAGACACTCATGGCCGATGTAAGTGGCATATATGTTTTTTATAACTAGTTAAATTTTGTTGTGGTTTATTAAATATAATTTTAATTTGTATTATTTTTTGTGCTTAAAGTCCTACTACGATGTGATCCAGGAGATGTGCCTGACTGTATTCATGTATTACCCTCGTACCTATAGGGAGCAAGTGTTACCCAACACTTGTTTCAGTGGTTTTAATGAGAGTACCATGATTAAAGCTACGGGTATAGATGAACACATAACAGGGTAACTATTACTAGTTTTGTTTAATATTAGATCTGGTTTATAAATTGAATTTTATAATTTGCTGCTGTAATACTGTAGTAAATTATACTGATACTGTAATAAATAATATATAATACAGTATAACCAAGTAAATATACTACTATTTAGTGCTGTAATAAATTTTATTTTAATATAATAATTATTAATATTATTTATTTACAATTGATTTTTGCCCTAAATTTAGGTATTGGTATAAAAGTCACCCGCGAGTAGGCGATAGAAAATTGGCGGACGTTTTAGTTGAAAAAAGCGACTGGCCAGATGATATCGGGGACATTTTGCAGTACTCCCCAAAACGGATCAGGTGCAACATGATGGAAAGTTCAGACGAAAATATCCCGATTGAATACATCAATTATCCGAACAAATTTCTACCGGAAAATTTAGTTGAGAAATACGGGTCCCGTAGTAAATACACTGAATCCCAACGGGGACAGGACTCCAATGGGGACAGAAATCTTAGGAAAACTAATGCCATGTTTGATGGCTTACAAGATTCATATAGGGATCGCAATCAGGACTCGAGTAGTGGTAGGGATAGGGACTCTGAAAGGGAGCGTAATAGAGATTCCCGAGGGAATAGTGATCGGAATTCGAGTCGGGAAAGGGATAGAGTCAGGGATCGGGATGAGTTTAGAAATCAATCCAGGGATAGTGAAAAAAGTAGGGATAACGACAGGAAACGGGATTCAAGAGACCGCGTGAGAGATGGGGAAAGTAGTTGACGGGACAGAAATAGTTCACGGGATTCAAGTGGTGAAAGGGAACGGGACTCCCATAGGGAGAGAGATAGGGAATCGTTTAGTGAAAGGGAATCGAGAAGTAGGGCTGCATATAGTAATCGGGATAGGGATTCAAGTAGGGATAGGGATAGCAATAGAGGTCCTATAAGTGATCGGGATGGAATTAAGCTATTAAGAGATAGAGCGGATAAGGTTAAGATGATCTAGATAATTATCTGCTAGTTTCAAAATTTTGTTAAGTGTATAATTGACCGAGGTAACAGTCTGTTATAAATGGCATCATTATTTACGATTGTTGATTGTTCATATATGATTTAATTGCTAATGTATAATTTAACTATAAACTAAAATAAGTTAAAATTAAAAATAGTTTACAACACATATTAAATATAATTTGTAAATACATTTTATTAATAAGTATCATATAATTGCATTGCACCAAGGTTATATGAGTTTATCATGAGTATTTTCAAGTATACAAATTAGATACATTTATATTACAAAAATTCATTATCAATTTATTATCACTTTGTAATGATTAGATAAATGGTTACAAATTTTGCACCGCAAAACTTATTATGAGAAAATGTTTACTTTTGTTGTATTAATTATATATTTATCGTAATCAAGGCTATCATACCTACATACAATATTATCAATCGTGATTATGGGTAACAAACATTAAAATTGTTACCCAGATAAGAGTTCTAATTTAGTATATAAACTTTAGCGAAACTTGGTGGTGGAGTATCAATTATATAATTATAAACTATAAACTTGTAAAACAAAGTTTTATAATAATTATAATTAAACTAACTTTTAACTCAAAATGTTGTCGGAAATACTATTGGTTTTATTGACTATCATAGTAACTGTAGTATCATTTCTATACCACAAGTGGACCTTTTGGAAACGCCAGGGTATACCCAATGACCTCACCTCCAGAGTTGGACAACCATTTCACGTGACAGACACTGAGGCCCATAAAAAATATGGCAAAGTTCTCGGGTATATATAAAAGTTTAAATAAATAAAAACTAGTAATAATTAGTTTCAAAATTATTTTTGCACTCAATTTAGTTTCTACGAGGGCTTGAATCCCGTGCTATCCATAACTGATCCCAATTTAATCCGCAAAATACTGGTCACAGAGTTTCATAACTTCGCTAACCATAGGGTGAGAAGTAGTGATTACTTTACATTATCTCAATATAATCATTATTTTAAGTATAAATACTATTTATCAGGCTATATTGTAGGCTACATAAAACATAATTATATATAATGATACAGTATGTTATTACGTATAATACAAGATCACTTTTCCCAAACTTTTAACAACTAGTATTTTAATAAAATTATCAAACAACTTTCAAACACTTATAAAAACTATTAACCCTTAAAAATTGAGCGAGTAATATTATCGATTTTAAAATCAATATTAGGTGTGTATAAAATAATTAAACTAGTACAAACTAATACATTTAGAACTCATACAAAAATCAATAGAAATATAATCAACTAAAATAACAATAAAATATGCAAAGTATTAAAATAATTTATCAAAATATTTGATTTATTAATAAATAATAATTAACATTTAAAAAATATATATTGAGCTAGTCATAATTATTACTAATATAATATATAATTAAATATATATATATATATTATATATATATTGTAGGAGTTTGCGGACGAGTCGGAGCCCATACACACCGGTGTTTTCTTTGCCAAATACCCAAATTGGAAACGGATCCGCGCGATATCATCGCCGGCATTTACATCCGGCAAACTCCGGGCAATGAAGTCTATATGCGAGACAACTATGGATCAACTGATGGCCAAACTGGACACCAAAGCCAGGGATCAACAGATCATAGACTTCCGGCAATATTCGGATCAATTGGCTTTCGATGTCATAGCAAAGGCTGCTTTCGGTGTAAACGCCGACACTATTAACAAACCCGTCGATAACCCGTTGTTTGAAGCGGTTAAGAGTCTGTTTCAATGTGATCAGGGTATTGTCGATAGTATAGCCTACTTGGTGCCGGCGCTGCGAAAGTTCGTCAAAATACCATTTTTTAATATGAAGAGTC